CTGCAGTCGCTGAACTCTTCTTGTAGCCTAGGTCCAGATGGTTTGCATAGCGTTATTCTTAAAAAATGCCTAAATATCCTGTGTTATCCTCTCATGGACATACTTAATGAATCTTTTTCCAGAAATGTCGCACCAGCCGTTCGGAAAGACATTAAATTTGTACCTGTACCTATTCATCTACTGGAACATGTTTTAAATTTAGACCTATTTCTATTACCTCTCCTTTTCTAAAAACTATGGAAAAGTTACTCTTACTTAATTTTCAACCTTCACTTAAAGGCTTTAACGATCCCAAACAATTCGCCTACAAACAGAGTAGAAGCACTTTAGATGCAGGTGCAGTCTTGTATCATAACATTATCTCCAGCTTAGACAAGGGGGCTAAATTTGTTCCCTGCACCTTCCTAGATTACGCATCTGCTTTCGACTCAGTACTTAAGGACATTTTGTTAAACAAGCTTGCTGAAACTCAAAGTAAGTGTTGGATTGTCAGATGGCTGCATTCTTATTTCTCAGGAAGAAAGTAGTACACTGTATGTCAGGGAAAGTTGTCCACTTCATTGCTTACTGAGGCTGGTGTCCCTCAAGGCGCTGTTCTTTCTCCTTTTCTCTTTTCTTTCTTCTTGCATGACTTGCCTCACTCTGATGAAATGAACTTTGTTAAGAATGTGGATGACCTAACTATTTCAATGTCTGTTAACTCCCAGCTAAACTGTACTAAGATGAACAGCTTTCTATCAGGAGTCAGCAAATGGTCCTCGTCTAATGACCTTAAACTAAATCCTTGCATGTTTCAGACTGTTAATTTCGGTGTTCAATGTAAAAGAAAGTCAAATGAAGCTGTTAATTCCTATGACCATTGAAAGGTTGATGATAGTGATATAAAAATCAAATCTCATGTTAATTATCTTGGATTAATTCTTTCTTCTAACCTATCCTGGTCTTCCCATGTCTTAGCGATTTCTGAAAGAACATTTCGTCTGACTTTTTACATTGAGAAGTTAAGGCATTCAGGCATAACCCGACCACTCCTCTTATAGTTTGTCAACTCGTGTATTTTACCTATTCTTCTTTACTGTTCACCCTTATTCTTTTCTGGATTGCTTAAAAAATACTATGTTATATTTCGTAGAACTCTGAAGACTGTCAGTAGGACGAGTGGTATCCCATTGGGCTATATCGTTGACATTGTCACTGATAGGCACTTGATTTCATGCAACAAATTTGCGAAAGGAATTTTCTCAGACTGTGAGCACCCGCAGCTCCAGCCTTGTGTCTCCTCACGTAAAACAAGAAGTCATTTGAAAAGAGTTTATGCTCACTCGTCCAAGTATAAAAATTCCACTACACCGTATTTGGCATGTACTTTATGTGATGAAGATAGTGTCAGACATGAACTAACTAACCTTCTTAGCACTACTAAATAAACCATTTCCTCCACCCTTACAACATCAACCTTTATTGTTATTGTACTTCTTATATTTATAATTCTCTCAATTTTTTGTTTTTGTTTATTTTGTCAAGTGTAAACATCATTTAAGCTTTTATCGGGAAATAAATGTTTCCAATCATTTAAGCTGTGTTAGAACTGTTAATTTTGTATTTCCCCTCACCATACTATATCAACGGAACATTAGATTCGATAATCTATAACATGCTAAAATTTCCAAACTGAATCGGCAATACTGTTTGAAATAAACTCACTGTTATGATTATTATTATTATTATATTTATTATCCTCATTTTGTACTTCGAATATTTTTTGACTTTATACCGTAAATGTGGTAAAATTCCTCTGGTTAATTTTGTTTTAATTCCATTTATATTTTGAGTAAATCATATGCAATATTGTGACAAATGCTGAGAATTCCATTCTGTATTATAAGTACTGTTTTTGAAACAAAGTAGATTATTATTATTATTATTATTATTATTATTATTATTATTATTATCATTATTATTATTATATCCCTTGTCTGACCAAATGGGTTTTCAAGTATAAGTTTGTAGGGATTTGATTGATTGGTTACAGGATTTCATCATGAGCTGAACTCGGTTAGAGAACCATTGGCAAAGCAGCTGGGAGTACTGGACAACTAGCTGTTTCGTCCCAGTTTTGGGCCCTTCAGCAGCACGCACCCACCGACAGGGTTCGAACCGAAGGCCCTCTGGTTACAACGTGTCTTATCATCTTGTGGTAGTTCATCTAGTGCATATTGCCTGCGGACAGTATTCATTTCATTCCCTTGTATGTATGTAGATAAAGAGTCTGTTTGGTGTAATGCCATGTCATTTCAGCGTCTTCTTATTGCGATGAACTCTACTTTAACGGATGGTGATTTGATTCGATTCAGTTGTTAATGAAGTCCAAAGTAGTCTTTTTTTCATGGAGCTAATCGTTATACTTCAGGTACTCATTGACAATCTTCACTGTCCTAAGGTTTATCAGAAATCTCTAAGTCGAAGCAGAGATCATCCCGATAAGAAGACGCTGGACAGGTATGACATTAAAGCAGACAGACTCTTTATCCACATAAATGCAAGAGAATGAAATGAATGTCGCCCTCAGGCAATATGCAGTAGATGAACTACCAGAAGATCTTAGGACGCCTGAAATAATTAGTAAGAAGTTAGGAAAATCCAGAGAACTCTTAATGTTGGTGAACTACAAGTCATATTTTCTACATGACCGGTTGCGATTCCTCAGTTGGAAGATGGAGTACCTAGACTAGCTACACTAATGTTGTCAATAACAATCATTCTTTCATTATTCTGAATATAAACTGTAGAACCTCATGATTAAGTTAGCGAGAAAAATATTCTATTCTGAGTAGTCAGTATTTTGAAAGCCTTAATGGGCTTCTTTAATCACTTTTACACTTTCATAGAACATTTTAAGTACAGAGTTAAATGTCTCCATGAAAATCATTCAAATAATTTTGAGTAATTTTCCTTCTTTTTCTTCGTTTGTTCTCGGTGTACTAGGAATTCTCATCGATGTCGAAAGGAGAATTAATCAAAGTTAAATTGATCTCATCGATTGATCTGATTGGAAATGAAGATGCTAAACTTTTGAGAATGCCGTATTGTGTTTGTACGTATGCATCGCAATCTGACAAGTACGTCATTGCTTATTTTGTAGTTGTTTCCTTCTTAATTTCATGTGACTCTAAAGTGTCTGTTACAATAATTGACTAGTCAGCCTTTCAGGTTATCGGTGTTTCTGTCCTGTCTGAAATCATGGATGCGCGGATGTCAGTGGTTATGAAAATCGCTGATTCGACTAGATCGCTTAGGATTAATTTGGGGACTTATTGCAGCCGATTAAAGCAGTGGTGTTGGAATATCTTTGGAGTTGGGAGAGTAAAGACTCCATATAAGAGATGAGGGCTTTAAGGTCATCCTCTGTTAAATTCTTGAGTCGAAATCTTTCTCACTCTGTATTGACTGAACCCTCATGTCTTTGGGTATCAGCATTATCGCTGACATTGATATCGTATGGTGAACAATGAGGAATGGTCTTCAAGCTGTTGGTTGTGTGACTTGACTGTGTCATAAAAGTGCTTTTCACATGGATTTTGAGGGAGAATTAGGTTGCAATATGATAAATCACATTCTGTGTCACCCAGCTTATGCAGTAACAGTCATATTTTCGAAGCATTGTGCTGTGCAGTCTTCGTAAAAACATTGGCATGTATCAGAAGTTCTATTTGCATGTGGATGATAACTGAATTGCATAATGCTATTTGCAATTGCATCAGCCAGGTGGTGCAGTAGTGGGAACAGGTGTGCTGCTGGTGGTGATGAAGTTGAAGCAATTTGTGGGGTGATGATAGTAAGGGTCTCCATGAATTTCATCTGTTTGTCGACTCATAATTCCACTTATGGTAGGATCGATAGTTTTCTGCATTGCTAAAATGTTAAATTTGCTGAATCTACACAGGAATGCGGTTAAGCATAATGAACGTTTGATAAATTTCCTAGTAGATTTTCCCTGTTGTGAACTGGTATTTTGAAGAATACTCACACACTAATTATTGGGAAAGGAGTATTCTCAAATGTGCGAGTAAAAGTGGTAGTTCGATTACTGTATGGAAGACCAATGATTATTTTGATGTCGTTGTGTTCCCTGAGCTAGATGGTTTAATTTGCAAAGCTTGCATTGCCCTACATCTTCAGCACATACTTCAATTTGTTGAAGTGAGCTTTTCGACTTCTCCACGAGTTTATTAGTCATCTCTCCTGGTGACCATGCACGTAATTGGTTGTTTTCATACCCTCTAGGCTACTTGTATTGGTAACAAAACAAGTAGTGGTGAAATCTGATTGATATTTAGACGTCAGTTGATTCGCTGAAATCGGACCGGTTGGTTATCTGAATAACCAGTATTTTTACAATTCGATTTCCTCTGTGGTTACACATAACAAAATAGAGTCCCGAGAAATAAATAATGTTTGCGCATTGATGTATAGACTTTAGTGGAACAGATGCAGTCAGTTGTATGAGAGCTCGTGTGGACTTGCTGTTCAAGAGTAGGCAGTGTTTCCCAAAGAACTGAGTAAGTGAGTGGGTGAGTGTGATGTTTTAGTTAATGCTAGACGACTGGATTTCATTGACTCCGATTTCAAGGATGTGTAGTGAAGTGGCGAAATGTGTTGTGCATTAGGTTTGAAGAACTAGCTGTTGACGAAATCTGTGGACGAATCTCTTGACCTCCTCTCACACTTGTTGATATTCGTGGTGTTTGACAGTGTGAGATGAAGTATGCAGCAGTGCACTTTAATCTACTTGATGTCAATAAGTTTGTAATCATAGATGACTTGTGACAAGTGGTCATGTTATGCGGAGAGTATCAGGGTAAGTACCACTGGAATTTGGTGTTTTGTGTTAGTTGAGTGGGTGGATATTTCTATCTTTATTCATTATACATATGCACACTCACACACACACACACACTCACAGAGTTCATTTGTTGACTGTTTTTGATTTTCTCTTTTAGACATAAAATGAAATCTCATTTACTACTTGGCGATGTAATACGAGTTCTGTATTTGTTACTTACAAATCGTAAACACCAGCCGATTGCTTTACAAGTATTAAAACACTGTTGGCTATTCTGTCATCGAGTTCCCCTAGCTGATATACGTCTTTTTACATTGAGTGGTGGTTTATCATCACGAAACTCTGCTCATCTGTCTCAGTATCCATTGGTAATTTCAGAGCCATCACTACTATTTGTTGTCCGATGGTCCTCTGACAGTTTGTTGAAGCGGACACTAGACATTGCTTGTAGCTGTCTACCACGTGACCGATGCTGGTACAATTGCTGTCCAGAAAGACTTCTACAGGCATTATCACGTTTAATATTCAGACCTGATGCGAAAAAGTACATTTTTAATATGTCAAAATATCTTTCATCGAAATGTCGACAGATTTCAAATGCTTCTTCATCGTCAGCATCATTAGATGTGTTGTCGGATCGAAATGATCGTGATGATGATTTTGAGTTACCTGCACCTAATCCGGTGGATGATAATATTATGCGTGAAAGAAATTTACACGTGGAATTGTGCAAGTGTCTTCCTGAGTCAGTTTCGTGTTTCCTAAGAAGGAAGATCGGCTTATCTTCGCACCACATTGCGTCTTTCGGATTTCTAATTAGATCTTTTCATAATACATGCCTACATGTTCTGAGTGAGGCTAAGAAGACTCCAGGTTGTAATTCAAATGCTCAAATAGACAAGAGTGTCTCCTTGAATCTGTTCAGTAGTATGGAATGTCTACATCGAGGTATATCTGTTTGTTTGTGCCGATTATGTGATTCGTATGCATCACTTATGTCAGCTGGTGCTTGTTTGAAGGCGAAGCATAAACTCGCGAATACAGACAGTAATTCTGTTCAATCACGTTCTTCTATGCGGCTGGCTCATAAACGAGCTCGTCTTTTTGAATCGGAATCATGTGCACGAGATAACGTTATTAGTATATTAGCGGAAGAGGTTTGTGTTCCCCTCCATAATGTGTTAAATTTCCTGGAGAAAATGTACCACACGTTGTGTAGTATAACATCGAGTGATTTCTTGCTTGGTCCTTTCTTCGGTTGTGACAACAAGGATACTAGTTTACTGCCTTCAAAACAGTGTGTATTCGATTCCATTGTATATACACGAGGACTTGTTAACTGGAATGCGTCATCAAGAGAGCAGTGGGATTTTGAGACGCTTACGAATATTGCTTTCTTCTTACTCAAGTATCTCACCACCGATGTCTTCGGACATATTCGTGGTCTGTGTGAAAGTGTGTTTTCGTTGAAAGAGGAGTTATCAAAGACTTATTCCTCCATAATGGAGACTTGGGTGCCAGCATACAAAGAGCAGCTTCCCTCTGTTAGTCCACGTGCTGATGTTGATTTGAAGTATCTCTTCTCATCTTTGCAGAGTCAATATGATGCAATTGAGGCTTGGAGTCGACGTCAACATGAGGTAGAATTGAAGCAGATCAGTAGGACTATGATTAACTTGCTAAGACAACTGTATGATTGTTGGAAATGTCGGTCTCTGTGTAACGATTTAAAGTTACCATGCCGTCGTTTAAATATTCCATATGGTTCAAAAAATGGTTCATCCCGGTCTGTGTTGAATAAGTTCAATGTGAATGCTATATTGCCATGGCCACCGCAATCCTTAAATTTTGTCCCAGCCGAACATCCTATTCAAGGAAACTCAGTCAGTGGTCTAAGTAAAACTGTTTGTCCGACAAGCGGTGATTCGGCGGAAGACTTTCCAAATCCCTTATCATCAGGAAATGCTTGTAATAATAGTCCTACTGGAGTTGATGTTGCGTGCAGAGAAAAGGGATCTGTTAGAAATTCATATGATTGTGGGAAAGAAGTTAACGGTAGCCAGTGTTCTCCTCAACCAGTTCGGGTGTGCATTCCTGTGGTGTCAAAAAACAGTGATACGTCATCGGTCGTCACTGATGCAAGGGACTCATGTGGAAGTGCTTCTCGAATGTCAATTGATTCCCGAGGTGAATCATTGGTTCAGAGTGCTTCGGTTAGTGTAAGTGGAACAACGGAATGTGCTCATTCGGAAAACTTTTCATCAGGCAGTGTTATGTTGGTCTCAACACATAGTGAATGTAATGAATCTGAAGCGCAGTCTGTCCCATCAAACGTTGATGTGGACGGACTATCTTCTGTGTGTGTTACAAGCGATAATGTTGAGAATATGTCTTCACAGCCTAACACAACTGAACTTACGGAAGATGTTGACGTCACTTCAAATAATTCTGTTCCTTCGTCTAATTCTGATGGGATTCCAGAAAGCCTAGGTGCTTCCACAAACAATCGCAATTCACCTTTGAAGGATTCGAGTTGCCAAGATGATCATGATGAAGAGCCGACATATTCTCTTGAGAACAATTCCGATGAGATATCAGAAAGTGGATCCCAGTTGTCGTCTGTTAGTACCGTTGTCTCAATAAACCGGAAGAATGAAAAGTCAATAAAGAAGGTGTGCATTTATTTACCTAGTAATACTGTTGCTAACTCTCCTACTGAGAATATTGTCTGTCAATGTAGTGGTGCGGAAGCGCATTCAGACTCTGATCAGGTGAACAGTTGCACAATGACTCTTGATAGACGGCGAGCTGGGAAACTGAAACGGAAGCTGAAGAAGTTGAACAACTTACCTGTTGGTGGAACGAATACTTCTGAAATCTCAGAAACGAATTCCACCTCACAAATCGAAAGTCCCTTGTGCTCGTTTGCGTCAACTAGCGACAGTCTCTCATTGACGGAATTTACAAATAGTTTACATAATTTGACGAATATCCGTGTGGAACAACCGTTTAGTGATCTTGTGTCTCTTTCTTGTTGGCTGCAAGAGAAATCTCTGAATTCTGAAGCTCCTGGACCAGTAACGGCTTCTGTATTAGGACTGTCTGTGTCCCCACTTTCAACTATTTCAATTGACCTGACTTCTGATGAATAAGATCTCATCTTTTCTACAGATTAGTGTTATTGTTTAAGATCTGATTTACAACGTCCTTGACTTGTATAAATGTGTACATAATGCACTTGTGATATCTATCGATTTATAAACGAAGATTTATTTTGTGTACACGATTGTGTTTATTGCCGTTCATTACTTATTTTTTCTATCTGAAATAAAGATTACATTACATAAAATAACATTTTATCACCTGCCTCAGTTTCATGATTATTATTATTCTCTTAGGTTCCCGGTGGAACATAGGGCTTCAACAGCAGATCTCCATGTTATCCTGTGTAGCTGGCTCCACGGTTGCGTGTATACTCTGATTGTTTCTTCACATGACATCCTACATGTCACTGTCGGATACACACCTAACTTGTCGTTCCCTATATGGGTTCCACTGGAGGGCGTACGTGGTGATATCACTCAAAGGTGTTCTCGGTGTATGTGTCCTGTGAATCCGCATTTTTTTTCGGCACACTTGTTGGACTGTAGTCTCTTGGTTGATTTGTTGACACTAGTTCCTTGTTGCTAACGCCTTGTAGCTGTCTGTTCTTCAGAATGGAGGGAAGGCAGCTGCAGTAACCTGTTTGAAACGCTTTTGCAGATGCATCAAATATCTGACCCAGATTTATTCAAGAAAACAAATAAGGGAGAAAAGGAGATAAGGGTGCTAAGGCCATGGTAGCAATAGAGGCTGGATAAAAGGTTTCTTGACGCAAAGTCCAAGACTCTCCTTATAAATAACTAAGTCTTCGGCTACATGAAGAAGATTTAGGCGAAATTTGTTCGAACGTCTTGGTTATAGTTTATATTTGACTCTGACGTAATGGTGAATTTTCGATCTCGATGTCGACCACCATATCAGGAATAAAGGATAATCCATTGTTTATCTGTCTGCATATGACATTTCGAATGAAGTATTTGCTGGTGTTGTGCGGCCGGAAGTAGCTTTATACTTGAGAATTAAGCTGTTGATTGTTCAGTGTCCTGCTTTTGACAACCGCACCAGTTAGTACTTCCATCTGTTCGTATCGCAAGCTGGACATCTTAGGAGGATAATTTACCTCCTGCTTCTGTTTCAATTTTGAATTCGATTGTTTGGTGGCCGTTGTTGTAGATTTCCAGGGTTTTGATTAGGTCAGTATTTTCATCGGTGAGAATGAAGATATCATCCATGAAGCGCTTGTAAACTTCGAACCGTTCGATTGTCGGTAGGTGGATATTTGACTCAGGGTGCACCATAGTGTAATTGGGTGACAATGGACCAACTGGTGAACCCATTACAAATTCAACTTTCTGATGGTATATATGACCATTGAGTCAACACTGAATATACAGTGTTCATCTCAAGATTTGTTCTTTGAAATGCTCATTCGGCGTATCAAAATTCAGATTATTTGAGTCGATAAATTCACATAGGTAGGATAAAGTTTCGGTTTGGTGGACGTTAGTGATGGATAGGGAATTTACCGCCAGCGAAGCCATAGTTAACCCAGATACATTCAATTCAGTTGACTTATTGATTCCGCGAATTCAAACATATCCTCCCTTCACATCCCCCCGCCCTGTTGATTGAGATTGGTGCTGGTCGTTGCTGTTGTTGTTGTTGTTGGTCAGGTATCTTCATCACCTCCGTCTTTTCTGATTCACCTGAAGCCTGTCTTCACTGCTTCTAACCTCTTCTTCTTTTTCACATGTGAATTTCATGGTTGAGTGTGCTTCATTGAACTGAGGTATTAATATTGTGTTCCTGTTCAAATCATTTTCATCAAGTAGGTGGTAGTGTTAACAGAGGACGTATTTTAGTCTGCAGAAATTGGCAAATTACAAAAACTGAATTTATTGAAACAGCAATTATTGTAACTAGAATTTAACTGGTGGATGGTGACCAATACTGGAATCCAGGATGCGCATTTCCACTATCCTATTTGGGACTCGTCCGCCGGCTGGATCTACCTGCATTTCCTAGTGAGTGATGACGTTCCCACAGAGGCTCGAACCCAGTGCCCATAGTTTCAAACGCCAAAGCGTTATCAACTAAACCATTTGGGCCACGAGAGCCACCTCTTGTGCAACGGGTCATATTGATTATTTAATTGAATTTTAGGTCACCGGGAGAGATGATTGATAAACTCGTAGAGAAATCTAAAAGCTGACTTCAACAAATTGAAGTATGGGCTGAAGATGTCACCTAGTAGGGTGATGAAAGCTTCACAAATTAACTATCCAGCTCAGAGAACACAACGAGATCAAAATCATCCACCTGAGCTACAAATCTTCTCCGTCATAACTAATTTTAGGTTTTCCCGCCGACTGATTGGACCGAAGTGCTCGGTCTCAGGTTGACTTATCAGCTTCTTGTGCAGATGCTTCGACTATGTCTGGGCATGTAATTAGAATTTAATTGGTAGATGGTGGCCAGCAGTGGAATCTAGGATGCACTCACTGGGGAATGCAGGTTCATCCAGCCGGCGGACGAGTCCCAAATAGGACGAAATGCGCATCCTGAATTCCAGTATTGGTCACCAACCACCAGTTAAATTCTAGTTACAATAATTGCTGTTTCAATAAATTCAGTTTTTGTAATTTGCCAATTTCTGCAGACTAAAATTGAATTCTAATTACATGCCCAGGCATCGTCGAAGCATCTGCACAAGAAGCTGATAAGTCAACCTGAGACCGAGCACTCCGGTTCAATCGATCGACGGGAAAATCTTAAATTCATTTAAATAATTACTGTAACTGTTGCATTTTGTAATACACGCCTATATAGGACATATCACCTGCATGTAGTTTTCCTATTTATGATACGGTATATATGTAATAAGTCACTGTTACAATGTCTCTACTTTTTAGTTCTATCAATTCCATTCCTTCCAATATGATAAAACTGCTACAGTGACATTTAGATAGACAAAGAATGAATGAATGACCAAGGTCATACTGGAAATAAACCAACCAGAATTGGCCTACATAAAAAAAGCCCACCATTTTGTTGATCATGACTATAGACTAAATGAGATATCCTTGGTGAATTTTTCAATCATACATTATTGTGCGAAATATACTGTGGCTGATAATACTGAGATAAACTTTTCGGCTGACGTCATTGTGTGTTCTGTCTTAAGTAGAGTGGGCTGTGGGGACGGAAGGGTAGCCGTCACACAATGTCGTTGGCGGTATTCGTGATTTCCACGTCTGTGTCCAGCTCGGTGTCCCGATTTCAATCTCAATATTAGTTCGAAACATAACACACAGTTAATGTGTTCAGAATGCATAACTTTTAGTAGATTTCCAATTCACTTAGTAGACAGTCTTTTACAAATTCACAAAGCAGGTTTCAAAATAAGTTTTTTAGATATAATTTACCAAATACTATCTGAAGGAAATCTGTCGAGATTATTTCACGGGCCAACATCGCTTAAAATAACGTTTCAAAGCTTAAGAGAAGGGGATAATTGTTTATTGTCTTAGTTTGAGGGATGTTTCAACAGTAGAGTTACGGCTTGAGCACATTACCATTCATCGGCTGGGTTAGACTTGACAGTACCACAGTTTCTAACTCCTATGAAAATGTGATGATAACAAAGTTACTGTCCAAGGACTAGCTTCAAAATGAATCTATTTTAGGGTTTTAAGAGAAAGAGCCCTGTTCGACTAGAATCATGAAGATTAGTAGGAAAGCAATGACTGCTGATCAGTGAATTGTAAGATGGTGTCCCTATAACACGAACTGGTAGAATATACGAACTTTAGCTGACCTAATCGGGGTGTTGTCATCAGAATTATCACAAATAATATTATTCCCTATGAAGGAATGTCAAGTGTGGATACCCTGCCTTGTTTCTCTTGATTGTAAAATCGAGGACAGTGTCATTATTTTCGTCCAGACTTATTAAGCCGGATTGACTTACAGCTCTTGTTAGAAATTTTAGCAATATTAAACAGATTAATCAGTCTACCACAAATTCATGTTTATTGCCTTGTGCCTATTTGTTGGGTAGTAGGTACTTTATAACAACCTCCTTTACCTACCTGGAGGCGTCGTTTCAACTACAGGCGGACAGAACTGACGAGTGTATCAAAGCGAGGATCGGGAAAGCAAGGCAAGCTTTTATTACTCTCAAATCTATGTGGAAATCAACAGCACTCAGCACGAAAGATAAGATCCAGATTTTTAACTCAAATGTGAAGTCAGTGCTACTCACTATACGGATCAGAGACTTGCCACCGCGTCACGAAGGGCACTTTGACCAAACTACAGCTGTCTTCGCTCAATATTCAAGATCAGATGGCCGGAAAAGATAAGCAATACTGAGAGATCTCTAAGAGAGAACCAACTCAGCAGGAACCAATTGTGCAACAAATAAGCAGGAAGAAATGCAGTTGGTGCATTGGCCATACTCTGAAAAAACAAGTCATCAAGTGATATCACATGACAGGTCATCACTCGAGTGGAACTCGAATGGGAAGCGTCGAGTTGGTCGTCAGTGCGAGGGTGACGTGGAGGAGGTGATACGACGAGTAGATGAAAGCATGTTGGTAGACGTGGAGCTTGGTGAAAACGTTCTGATGTCCTCGTCGGTTCCGCCTGTAGTTGAAACGATGCTTCCCATGTCTGTAGGTAAAGGAGGTTGCTTCTTTCAGACTCCTCCCATTTATGCTGATTGTTGTTGCTGTTGGCCAGGAATCTTTATCACCTCTGTTTTCTCTACGTTCACCTGAAGTCCTATCTTCTATGGATGCTTCTTCTGCCAACTTGTTACTTTTCACTTGCATATCTTCCAGTTTGTGTGAAATCAGAGGTATACCATCGGCGAAATCTGGATCCTCCACTTATGATGGACAGTAGCTTAAAAGAGCTATGAAGCGTTTGGTTGACCGACATTATTGCACCATCCTATTATTACGGAGACGATATTACTGTCATACACGACTACACACCCCAAGCGTGTTATTTAAATAGGATGGAACAATCAAAAGATTAGATATCA